TGAGGGCGGCCGGGGAACACGGGTTCGTGGTGCAATATATCGCCTGGAGTGAAGGTCCCGATGTAAAGTCTATACATCCATCACCTCCTCGTCATCGCTGGAGTCTCCATCACTATCCAGGTGGGCTTCGAAAGCACGTTGCAGCAAAGTCTCGACTGCGACGAGGACACTGCTTCTCTTGCTTATCCTTGGCATCTTGGCAGTGAGATCAATCTTCCGAAGGGCACGTCGTCGTCTGAACTCGAATCTGCAAAGGGTGTCAAAGATCCGGTCATTTTATTGGTAGAAAATGCTTCTGAATTCGACGTCTGTATGCAAGCAGAATGTCCACAACATCACCGGCACGGGCACAGAGAGCTCCACGTGCAAAGGCACATCCTCCGCCGTTACTCAAGTCGCTTGAAGCCCCGTTTGAAGATCGTGCACCAGCTCCCCCAGCGCCCCAAGCGGAGACATCTAGAGCAACAATTCGATGCGCAAGATGAGGAACAAACTGGTCAATTGGAACTCGATAGGTCTGGCCACTTCCCGTGTAGACGAAGGAATGTTCCGCCAGTCTTTAGCCCGACCACGTGACTGGAAAAACAAGAACAGCTCCGTGCTCGCCAGGTTTGGCTTCACCGTCACTGGTAGAGCCGCCACTGCCGCCATGCCCAGTCGTCAACCGTGTAATCTGCCAGGAACTCTGCGAGCTGGTAGAAGCTACAAGCTTGCCGTTCAGCCACCGCTCTGACGCGCGTGACGTACGTGGTGTATCCATTCAGTGACGTCATTGAGATGACGGACGCAAGCCAGATCTGTAGGTGGGCTTATATGAAGTAAGAAATGAAATTAGTAATATTAAAGGTTAAGGAGCTTGTGATACAAATGATAAAAGAGATCTCGCACCTACATCATTGCCTCGATTTCTTTCTGCTTTGGAGGTGAGACTCGACAGCTCGTCTTGTAAGTTTCCGTTGACGTTTGGAGCGCCGACAACTCCTGAATACGCCATTCGATTGGCCTTGATGTTCAGTAGATGTATAACTCAGGACGTGTTCGTCCTCGAGGCTGCAGTCCAGTATCTCCGTCGCAGCAGAACTCACAATGGAAGGCACTGTACTATGCGTAGAGGTGGTTGACTCAAATCCTTGTGCGTCATCTTCATTCTGTACAGTATGGTCGACGGCTGTTTGCACACTTGGAGGCTCCGCCCGCACCGATCTCTCTATTGGATGGTCTGAATCAGAAGATTAATCTTGATTTCTATCGCCCACACTAATATCTCCGGTCGATCTTGGCGTAGAAGCGCCAGAGGCTTGAGACAAAGAGCCAGTATCAGAGTCAGGTGATCCTTCTAGAGTCTGAGCATGGACATGACTTGGCCTGACAAACTGTCTAAACCGCATGCTTACACCGGAGCCCGCCACGCCTCCTTGCACACAGGCACTGATTACATGGCAGCACATAGCATGTTTCCTGTTGTAGACGCACGAGCAAGACTTGCTCCTTATATCTACGACCCAACCACCTGCAGGCATGCCTTCGGTTAGTTTTTGCCTAGAATTGACCGATCTGATTGATCTAGCAACAATTTTTTTTTCGGAAGCTGCCAGCCGCAATGGGCGCTGCTCTACACGATACAGATCAGCTGCTACATATCCTACCGGAGGAAGGATATGCACCACGAGGCATCCTCTCTTGCACATAAGGCGATAAAGCCTTACCAGGCGCTCTGAAGCAGTATGGACCGACGAAAGCTCCGGGTCCGAGCTCAAAGAAGCCAGTCTGGCACCATTTGGGTTTTGTATGAGCTCACTAGGTGTGAGGACATTGTAGCTTGACTTTGCGGTGATACTGCTCCAATGGATTATTGGTAGCCGCATATCCGGGTGGTGTGTGATGAGCCTGCCAGCGCATAAAACGGTGCGATTTGACCCACATTTTAGCAATGTGATCAGTTAATTTGCGTACTGGTGATCCCCGGGGTTTGGCACTCCATTTTGTCAGAGTTTGGGTTTTCACAGCTGGGTACTCTTGCTCACTAGCATAGTGCATATCATAAAGATCCACAATTACAGATCTTGTGTCACCACCGCTGACGCGCTTTTTACGAGAATGCTTCCATACATTCTTTGTCACATGAAACCAGCACATTAAAACAACAGTGTGTGGTAGTTCTATGACACAAGCGCTAAATTGTGCTTTGTCAGCATCCATTATTACCAATTGTGGTGCAAATTAAACACCAGCACAATCCATGCACACACGCTTCAGGTATCTGATGCACCATCCAATGTCTAATGCACGTTTCTGCGAGGTGCAAAAGTACACCATCGGAACAAAGTGCCCAGCGCGATCCAAAAATTCAAATACAAAACCAAGTAGCCGTTTATAACCATGCTGTGCGTACCGTCAATGTGCAAAATTGTAGTGAAATCGGGATGAGTCTGGACCACAATGTAGCTTCGAATTAGACGTAAACAGGTCATCCCTACCCGTAGAGGGTACGCTTCCAATCCGTCACCAAGGTGCGATACAGTTTCCTCTGCACCGGGCCCCGTGTTGCGTTGGGAATCACATAAAATGATCATTGCTGTGTCTGATGTCGTCACTATATCAATTTGGTCATAGAGGTGACCATCACACAGCTCTATCATCGGCGCCATGGAATCTTATGGATTCTTGCGTCTCCAGTTCTTAACGAAATCTGATACTTGTGAGCTAGTAGGAGCTGAACCATCGAAACTTTTCTGGTCAACCAGTGTACAGATAAGCGAATGTAGACGTGAAGCCGTAGTTTGCTCTCCAGCTCCGAGGCTGTCCGTAATATAATCTTTCATTTGATGCGTTAGCTTGCTCATTACTGGTGTTGGATGATCATCGGTGCCCATCGCATGATTGCCTTGTTGAAGCACCTCACACGTGCTAGATGACAGACAGACCTTGAACTTGTAGCGACAGGGACAGGTGCTGTTCGCGTTCAATGGCGCGTCAGTATCAGTGTCGGCCGCAAGCTGCAGGCATGACTTGCAGCGCTCAGATTTACACAGAGCAAGTTGTGAGCGCATTTATGGCCATATCGGTGCAAATCGTAGTCTTGAATAATTAAATGGTCAATCGTACACCCTACTGGGTTGATTTTGTCGATACTGTGTGGTGGTAGAGCTGACCGATATCCTTCTAGAGCGTCTGGCTCTGTAGAGCGCCAAATAGTAGCCCAGGGTCACCGCGGGCGAGATGCAGAACCGTCCTCCACGTCGGACTCCGATGAATCTAACTGTAATGCTCCAGCTAAAAATTCATCGTTCTCAATCACCATTTCTTTGTCTCCACGTAGTTCTAAATGAGCGACAGTGCGATGGGCGTGTAAAACTATCCATTTCTGTATCTACAACACTTAAATATTTTGCATTGATCATGCTATTTTGGTGGTCGCTAACTTTAAGGTGGTGGTGGTGACCGTTTTCTGTGTGTGTGGTCCCGTCCACGTTTTGGGTGGATCTACACTTTTTTTATTATAGCAGTACACATAATTTAAAGTGGTAATAACCCGGACTCCAAAAAAGGTAACCCTTCCCTTCACAAAACCCATAACGATAGTTAGATATAAGGGGTAAAATCGGGCGTAGATTCCGATTTTGAGGTCTATTTTTGCGTATCTGCAACCATTGATCTCCCAATCGGCCGTTTAAAAAAGGCTCTATATCTTGCAGAATTGTTTGCAATTGTGGGCTTGGCACGTACTAACATGCATGCATATTCATTGGCAGAGCCGGGATAACAGGTGGGGATTTTCAGAACCGGATGGATAAATTCCAAATATTACCGCAATTTGACGATTGTTAGAAAATTATAAACTTGTTAAAAAGAACCCGTCAAAAGAATATCTAGAGTGTAAAGAACATACAACGGGTCACCCGTTCATATTCCTAATCGGCTACAGCTTCATTGTCATCGACGGCGTCATCCTCTTCCGTGTCCTCGTTGCTGCCCTCTGGTTCCGATGCAATTTCGCATTCATCACCTTGCTGCAGATATTTTGTCTCGTATTTCTGGAGGCCTCCCAGATGGTTTTGGACCTTCCATCTGTCATAATTAATTTGTCGACCACTGAAATGATAAATATCAATAATAACTGAAATGATATGAAGTACAGCCTACCGAGGTGAAATTCTTGTCGTGGTGCTGCTCCCAGTGCGCCCATATAGCTGAAATGGTGCCCGTAGCAAAGCCTAAACACTCTTTGACATGATAACGAACTCCTCCTTTCCATAGATGCGGTGCAGAGGCCTTCTTTTGGCGGAGGAACTCGTAGGTCTTCACAACCAAGTACTTCTCAGCAGCAGTCAATTTCTTACCGGCGACCATTTGAAAAGTAGTGAACATTATTAGATGCTGTGAAGTTCTTACGAGAATAAATAGACACCAAGCTATCTATTAAGGGGACACACAACGAAATCGGCTCTACGGTTGCGGAGTTACATTCCTCTAATTTAAGATAAAATATATTGCCATTTTTGTCCAAGCCTTTTTGGCCGGGATAATATGTGTCGTCAGGCCGTATCGGGTCAGCCGCCACGGGCGTCACTAGTGGTGGTCTCGATTGGCCCAAAACTTCCCCAAGCACAGCGGTGATAAGTAAATTAGTGGACAAAAGTAGACGAGCAGAAGAGTAGACGTATCATGTAGATAGAGCGGAGATAGCCGCAGCAGCTCATTCACCGCCGTGGCGACGAAGTATAGTGCCTTTGGCAGCTCCCTGAGAGATTGTGGCTGTGAGCTTTTTTATATTAATTCTCATTTTACATTGTCTTAAATGATAACCTCGCTCAAATCGTATTACCTTCTTAAACAGATTTAAAATTCTAGATGTGCAAGAGTTTAAAATTTATAACCTTTTCCAGCCCAGATGACTATACTGGTGATTTTTGCTGGCAGGTAATTAGCAGTATATACCTTTAAAAAATTCAAGTATGGTCCCATAGGAAGACTGATAGTCCAATCTTTTGTGTTTGCGTTTAGTTGAGCCCGATGCTGAGCATGGCGAGCTGGTCCTCATCCAATTCCATTTGTTCTTCTGTGAGGTTCCCCCAGCCCTTTGACAAGCAGTAGAAACGACGGCGTAGTGAGCCTAATACCTGATTGCGGAAGCGGCAGTACCACACGAGCCTGAGAAGAACAGGTTTAAGCTTCTCTGCTTCATGACGAGCAGTGCGAGCGACAAAGGTGGTGCGATATTCGTCCAGCAACATGCGGTGGAAGCGACGCCGACGCCGACGCCAGACCAAAGTTCGAAGTGACTCCGTGATAGCGGGGTACCAGCGCAACATGAATCTGTGTCGCAGCGCCAGGACGGCGTCCGTGATCAATCGGCGGAATTGCCGCCTCCATACCAAGTGACGCAGTGTTTCACGGAAGACTGGGTGGGAGTTGTTGAGACTGTGTAGAATGGCTGACTGACGAAGTTCCCAATAGCTCTCGCCGACAACGCTCTGGAAAGTGTAGTGCCACGATGACCAATGGTTATACACCGTCATGTCAAAAGGGTCCACTGGGAGCAGCTTTCGCTGGTGAAGCTTTTTGATGCGCTGCTCGTCGGTCCAGCTCATAGAAAAGCCGCAAACGCACCAAACACTGTTGCAACCATCAACTTTGACGATCATCACACGGCAAGAGCGACACTCAATTACGTCTTCATCGCTGATCATCTCCTTGTCTTCCTCTTCGCACTCGCATGGCGTGCTTTCATCGTACATTGTGCGCTTGCAGTTAAAGCAAGCAAAGAAACCGCAGCAGCGAGTCACGACGCGGCGGTGAATGCTATGGTACGTCAATAGTAGCGTCGCTCGCCGCTCTTGATCTAGAATCCGCGGGAGTATTTTGTGTACAATGCAGTTGGTCTTGGAAGCTGCAAAGTTGTCCGCGACGTAGCGGATCACATCGCGGGCGGTGGTGGTCTTGGTGTGGTGACAGAATCGACGAACTACGCGTCGAAGCTCTGGGATACGAGCTTTCTCGCAGGGTCGGAGTGTGAGAGCCACATCATTAGCGAAGTCTCGACATGAGTCCTGATAGAAACCTGGAAGTTGTGTGTACTGTGCGTTGTGGCAGCCCCGGACAGGTGAAGTTGCACGAGGCTTCGCATAGCCTCGTGTACCGCTGAATTAGGGATTTCGCTGTTGCCGCTTTGGGGTCCAAGCAGCGAACCCATTGCTGCCTGTTGACAGAAACAAGGCAGATCGGACAGCGGATCTTGGGTAGCGCGCCGGTGTACGGGACTTCTTTTGCCAAGAGCAAAAGTTTTTCAAGGCATGGCGTGCAGAAGACTGCGGGGCAAGTTTTTGAGCAGAAATGAGTGACGATGTTGATGGTCGTTTGGTCCTCCGACATGAGCTCTTCCAGGCAGATTTGACAGGTGACGGAGCCCGTATCGGTACAGATTTCGTTCCGAGTGTCTTGAACTGCGTTGGGCGCCATAGTATGCCGGTAGCTGGTGGTGGAGAGCAAAATATGAAGTGGGTAGGTAGGGCGGGGCGTAAAGCAAACGTTAGTGTATCCATTTCATGACCTTCACTCATGACGAGTGTACAAGCAGATGGCTACAAAGGGTAACAGTTGCTAAAGTGCTAACAAAGTCTCGAACATGATTACATTTCATTCGTCGCGAGAAACTTACTCTTGCCCACGGGTACGGTTATCCGCCCCACCTTCGGTCTGTGACAGTGTCCACTTCACCCTGTACCTGCTGGGTCTCTTCAGGCCGTCAGCTAACTCCAGAAGAAGCTGTGGCGTTCGGAACAAGGGCGTGCGCAGCCTGTCAAGTAGCAGCTTACTGGTTACGACGATTTACTGATGATCAACACGGTAAAATTGCTCACTGTGCTCAGCACTACGTTCCGAAGTCGTCAAACGTAGCCAAGTAGAATCGCCCTAGCTAAAACGTTGCCACAATACAGGGTGCTGCAGGGAATTAGTCGTTTCTGCTTTATCTTTTTCTTGCCTTTGTATTTACTCTTCTTGCCTTACTGTCGGTATTAAACTATTAAACTACCGGTACTTCGAAGTAGAAGAGCTACTACATGTACCGATTCGGTACATGTAGTACTACCGAAAGCAAATCTTGAGAATGAATCATCATCGAAAATACCGGGTTTTTTTAACCAAACTGTGCAAAAATAAAATTAATCGCACTTAGTCGAATTTTGGCGCCAACTACAACAAATCCGCTCGCACTATCGGAAGTGGTCAATGGACGCGGCACGCACTCCGAAGCGCAAGCGGCGGCGCCTGGAGCCGGGCGCGTCCCGACGTGGCCGCAAGAAGGCTTCATCTTCTTCGTCCTCTGCGAATCAAACGCCTGGGTCGGGTGGCAACGAGTCTAAAATTGTGTGGAAGGACTCGCCAGCGGACAAGCAGATCAAAGTGTCAGGAACCGGCAAAATGGCCGTCCGAAGGGAGATGCAGGGCTTCGTGGGGCGGCTAGCACGTGCAAGTCAACAGTCTCCTTCCCCTACCAGCGAAGAGGAGAAGAAACCGAGTCGAGAGCGGGTCCACACGCGTCGAAAGGCAGCGCAGCAAGAAGAGGAGAAAGGTGGCTACATATACTACAACCAAGAGGTGTCGTATGACTAACGAGAAAAAAACTGTTTGTTGCAGCTGCTTCGAGGCACTTGATGTTCAGTCCTCCAGAGAGAGGAACCACAGGTCAGAGGACGCCGAATACAGCCAGGAGGAGACGATCCACCGAGAGAGGAGACTCCCAAGACGAGCTTTTCAATGTACTGGACCAGATGGAGCAGAAATATGCCAGTCCCGACGTCGCATTGCCTCTAACAGGCTCCAGAGCAATTCCTTCTAGGAAATCACAGCAGTATCAACAGCATCCTTCGTTGCCTCCATCTACAGCAGCTTCTGCTTCGACAGACGACGTGAACATGACACCAACTCCAGATGCATCGACCGGGACGCAATCGCCACGTTCCCTTCGGACGCAGGAAGAAGGGAAAACACAGGAAAGGGCTCGGAACCAGGAGGTTGTCAAGGCTTTAGAGGCAATCAGGGAACAAGAAGCACCCAAGACACCGGAGAAGCCGCCAGTGGCTGAAGTGGACCCTTTTGACGACCTGACGGACGAGTCCTGGGCGCTACTGGACCAGCTGGCGAGTCAGCGAGCCCCCGCCGAAGCTAGTAGTCAAGCTCCGTCGCAGTCGCAGACGGAGATCGTATCGCCACAGAACCTCGCGTTGACCCCTCGGCCCATGCCTTCAGCAGTCCAAAATGACACGAACAAACCTCCTCCTGTGGCCCCAGCTCACGATCCAGCGTCAGTGGTGCGACCAATGCATGTCACTGGGGCAGCTGGGCAGCTAGACGCACCCGAAAGCTTCAAGCGCTTTTTGGTGCTAGAAGTGGACCGCGACGTTGTTAACCGCTCGCTCCTTTTGCGCCTGTTAGATGACCAAGATGCACAGCTGGAGGCTAAGCTGAGCGACGACTGGTATGATGTGCTTGTTGAAGCGGGCGACTCCATCAACATTGTGTTTACTGAGCAGGACAGAGAGGGATTCTTCACGCACGATGACGAGACGCCAGCGAGCCGACAGCAGTCGCGGATACTCGTGGATAATGCACACAACGTCGTGGTAGTGCACCCTGATATTCTGGTACGTGTAGTGATCTTGCCCAGTATCAACTCCCGGACTGAAGAATATTTATTTCAATTCCCCGCGTTGACTGCAGGTATCGCCCACCAGGGTGACAACAAGTTTTGGTTGCTTGCGACGAGCTGTCCTCCAGGAAACTCTAGCTGTCAACCGTCCAACGAGCAAGAAGGCTTTTCTGGGTACTTTAAAGCATGACCTCTTCGAGCGCGCACTTCTCGATGGCTTGAACGATTCCGTGGCTCTCCTCGAAGAAGCCAAGCGCATCGTGGATTTCAAGTACGTTGTGCAGCTAGCTATGGTACAAGAACTCGTTTATCGTGATGACATGTGGCGTGTGTTTGAGCAGCATTTTAGGTTTGGTGGAGTGCGGATTAAATGAAGAAGAAGCGCTCTTTGAGCTTCAACGGGTGGTCGAAGATTACCGATTGTGGGTAAACGCAGCTGTGATGGGATCTGGAACGCCCTTGAACGACGTTCCACCCAAGGCCGGATCGAAAGCGCACGTGAGTCGCATTCTATCCACGGAAGAAATGATGTGGTCGATTAAATGGGGACTGAAAGGCGCCACGGATGCCTCTGTGGAGGGAACGATCATCGATCCAGGGCGTGGAAATACTGGACCCGCAGGAAGCGTAGTGCTGCCTCTTGAGCTCAAAACAGGGAGCAAACAGTATGCCGGCGTCGAGCACCAAGGTCAAGTGATCCTGTACACGCTGCTGCTTAACGAACGCTACCGACAACGTTGTCAGGATGGACTTCTCATCTATGTTCCCCCCATTGAGACCAATCGTATCGCAGCCATGGCGACTCACGTTCGTGGACTCATCATGACCCGCAATAACTTCGCAAGTGCTATTGCTAAAGTGAAGGCGATCGGAGGCTCCACATCCGCCCAGGTATTTCCACCGATGATACGCAACCGCAGAGATTGCGAGCGCTGTTTTCAGGTGGACGAATGCGTTTTGCACCACGCAGCCACAGAGAATGGTACGGAGGACTCGAGTGGTCTTGACGAGTTATTCACTCTGATGACGAAGCATCTTGGGGAGGCAGATTTAACTTATTTCAAGCAGTGGAATCGTCTTATTGATCTGGAACAGCAGCATGCCGAGAAGAATCTTCGTGCTCTGTGGCTTCAGGTTGGGTGGAAACGCGAGCAAGCACAGGAGGGCAGTACCTGCATTGCAAGTCTCAAGATGGTATCTGACGCGCCTGCGATGTCCGAGTCTGGAGCGAAAAGGACTCTGCGTTTCGTCCGCGATCGGCGGCAGCGAAGAGACAATGGCGAGAGCGGGGTTATCACCCAGCCAACGTCGTTTGCAGACGTGCGATTCCGAGTGGATGAACGCGTCATTTTGTCGGCAGAGTCGCTTGACGGAAAGAATTTGCTGGTTCACGTGTCTCGTGCTACTGTCCGCAAGATTGAGCACGGACTGATCACGATCAAGTCATGGCAAGGCATCCCGTCGATCGTGAAAAGTGGTCAGTCTGTTGTTGGCAAAGACTACACGTGGAGACTGGACAAAGACGCCATCATGAGTGGCTTACGACGCGCGAAAGAAAACCTCGTGCAACTATTTATTGGACCTCCGCCGGAGGTGATTTCACAGGGAACAGTCATAGCAAACCGACCAGAATTACAGGTGCGTATGGCCTCGATGGTCTCCTCAGGGAATAGTGGCGATGGTGACCACAAAGTATCAGGCGCAGGGGACACAAGAAGAAGAAACTTGATTGTGCATCTCGCTCGTCCGCACTTTAAATCTTGTCGGGTAACGGATGTCATTTCTCAGCGATGTCGAGATTGTGCCAAGGACGATCGTGACGACACTGTGGCAGCGCAGGGCCAATCTTTGCTTGATGCGTTCTTCGAGCTGAACATTGATCAGCAGCGAGCTGTCCAACGTGTACTGAGCTCTCTCGACTACGCGTTGGTGCTAGGAATGCCTGGAACAGGCAAAACCGCGACGATCGCGTACACCGTTCGGGTGCTGCTATTTCTTGGGTTTTCTGTACTGGTGACGAGCTATACTCACTCAGCTGTGGACAATCTTCTGCTCAAGTTGCTGGCTTACAAGACCCCCATGCTTCGTATCGGCAACACCGCTCAGGTACATCCTATGATTTCTGACTTCACTCTCGATCGACAAGCAGGGCGAGAAGGAATTTTTAGCGTCCGAGCCATGGAAGCCAAGATGGTTCGTGCGCAGTTGGTGGGGTGCACGTGTCTGAGTGTGAATAGCCACGTGCTCTTTACAAAGCGGCGATTCGACTTCTGTATCGTCGATGAGGCCACTCAAATCACGCAGCCCATTGTCCTGAGCGCTCTGCGTTGCGCCGATACGTTTGTACTCGTGGGAGATCATTACCAACTCCCACCACTCGTGGCAAACGCCCAGGCTCGTAAAGAAGGCATGGATGTGAGTTTATTCCGACGGCTGGCTGAGGCCCATCCAGAAGCCACACAGCAACTGTCTTATCAGTATCGAATGAACAGACACATCATGCTGTTAGCGAATCGACTGGTATATGGCGACAAACTAAAGTGCGGGTCGTTTAAGGTTGCTTCGAACCACCTGAAGCCTAGATGGCAGCGACAAGACACTATCGGACAGAAATTACGGTGGCCTATGCGAGTTCTGACCAATAACCAAGGCGTTACGTTCTTGGATACGGACTCGATGGGTGAAGCCACAACAGAGAGCTCAAGTATTGCGCAGGTAGGAGCGATCAGCGGTCGTCGACGCATGGAAAACGTTGTAGAAGCGCAGGTTATAGCTGGACTGGTGGAACTTCTCGTGTTGGGGTCAGTTTCTCCTGACGAGATCGCGGTTATCTCTCCTTTTCGCTCTCAAGTCGCCTTGATTCACCAACATCTGACTGCCATCGGTGCACTCCGTCGAGCTGGTGGGTCCGACTGGATTCATTCCATTGAAGTGAGCACCATCGACAAGTACCAGGGCAAGGACAAAGGTGTGATTCTGGTCTCTTTTGTTCGATGCAACGAAGAGAAACACGTGGGCGAGCTGCTTACAGATTGGCGTCGTATTAACGTGGCTCTAACACGCGCCAAGCAGAAACTGATTCTGGTTGGGTCTGAGTCAACACTCAGTGGCGGTGGTGCTCTGTTTCATGTCCTGTTGAATGTCATTAAGGACCAGCAGTGGGGATTCAAGTTGCCGAGCGACGCTATTGCAACTCTTCGACAGCTTGCAGCTAGTGTGGCCGCTCCCATTGAACCTGACCCCGAACAAGGCACCACACCAGGACCAAGAGTGAGCCGAACAACGGACAATGTGAAAGTCTCAATCCTCCAGCGCTCTGCTAGTGGAAACGGTGACATTGAATCGCTCGTCCCCAACGTAACGAGTGTTCCTTTGCGCCCTCGTCATGGAGCACGCCCGTCGCAGATAAAGCCTATATCGCGTGACATATTTGGAGAGATGTGAGAACAATGGTTGTGCCAAAAGTATAATAAAGGATTATAGAAAAGCCAAGTGGTTACAGTACTACGAACTCCGAATAAACGGTTGTCATGGTGGAGGTGATGGAAATTTGCAAAGGCTCTTGCGTCGACGTGTGCATTGGTGGTGAGCATTTTCGATCAACCATGGACTCGCACAACTCGCGTCAAGGTAACAATGCTTTAGTCAACCGTGGCAGGATTCTAATAGGTCCCATTTGTCGCATGTGGGTAGCTGACGACAAGAACAATGAAGTGGACATTATTATTCCTATTAGAATATCAAAGAGTCCATATTTGGTTCGCTACTCTTTCAATTTATGAAGAGGATATAAGCTCCTCACATGGATCACAAAGGGCTCATATTGAGCTGGCTACGAAAGTGCTAGACTAGATATCGTTTCCACTTGCACACCTTCTCTCTTTTACGGCATCGCCGTTTGCTGGTGGTGGTGGCCTTCGTGGGGGTAACCGTGTCCTTCATGAATGGGTACGGACTTGTCGCCCTTGATCTTTTCCTTCACGTCATGCATTTTCTCCTTCGCACGCTCCATGAGAGACGGCGAGAGAGACTTTTCTGCAGCCTTGATCTGGTGGTCTAGCGCGCTGAGGCTGAAGTGGTCGCGAAGAATCTTACGCACGAGCGTCTCCACGGTCTCGGAGCTCCCCATGACGCCTCCGTTATCGTCTTTATTGCCGCCGAGAGCACCGCTGTGGTGGCCCTCATTCCTGACACCCCCCAACATGCCTCCGTGTGCATTTCCTTCTTCCCGGTTCTTGTCCAAGACACCTCCGCAAGATGCACTGGTGTTTCCTAAGAAGCCGCCGTCCTCACCTCGCTCGTTATTGTTCTTTCCGAACAAGCCACGGTCTTCACCTCTCTCGTTCTTTCCGACGAAGCCACGGTCTTCACCATGCTCATTCTCGATCTTTCCAACAAAGCCACGGTCTGCACCACTCTCGTTCATACCGACGAAGCCACGGTCCTCACGTCGCTCGTTCTCGTTCTTGCCAAAGTACCCGCGATCATCTTCTCTCGCGTTGTGCATCTCACCTGTACCATGCAGTCCGCGGTTGTCTCCCATTCCCTTGTTATTGCGCCCACCAACGGCGGCATCAACTCGTCCCTTGACTCCCATGCGCTGCTTGTTCTCTCTATCGTAGTTGCGAGCCGTAGTCTTCAAGGTTTCGATGGCTCTGGCTGTCGAGTCCATCATGTTACGAGCAGAAGCGATTTCCGTCTTGGACGGCTTCTGGTTCCTGTTGATCTCGTGGGCCACGTGTTTCAGGTCCGAGGCCGTATCCTTGGCATTGCGCATATCGGTCCGCATGAAGGACGCCGCCGTATTCCTGGATTGATTGCCATTGCGACTGTCGTAGTCGGACAGGTGCTTCTTGAGCAGCTTCAGGCAGTTCGCCGTCTCGTCAGCGGTCTCGTTCAGCACTTGCTCTAACTTGAAGAATTCCTCCTCCGTGGCAACTTTTTGATCGGTGTGTTTGCCCATGACCATGGTTGTTGCAGTGCTGAGCTGGTTGTTGAGATTGGCTAGTCGGTATCGATTTGTGTGCTTGAGATCAAGTTTTGAAATGAACGATGCGGGGCAAGTCCGACTGAGCCAAGCTAACGATTCACTCGTCCGACATTGGGTGATCTTGAATTTCTTTTTGTTGCAGCCATCCTAACGCTTCCGAGTGATACCTACGCCCAACGGAATCCGCTCAGGAGTGGTGGCATTATTGTCTCGTCATTTGTCGCGCAGAACATGAAGCCATTATCTTTAGGGGAAAAGGTCCATTAGATGAATTGCGACACCCTCCTTAGTAACTAAGTACATCTAGATGAGATTGGTGAGATGATGATATGCCCCATGAACTTCTTTGCAAAAACGAAATCACTGCGCTATCTAACATGTTCGATCTACCAAAAACACCAACAAGAATGAAAGAAAATGGCAAATGGCCTGTATCCATCTGAAATACGACACTGTAGTATTGGTTAGCGATTATTCCATTGATGCCAAATATATCGTTTCTGCTGCTGATGTGGCAAGCGCTGGTATACAAAGGATGGCTACCGCCACATCACACCAGATAACCGCGCCGAACCTCTACCAGCTACGAATATGTGCGAGGACTTGGTTGTGTCGTTAAAAAAGCCAAGTGGCTACAGAACTACAAATTCCGAATAAACGGTTGTCATGGTGGGCATTTTCGATCAACCATGGACTCGCACAACTCGCGTCAAGGTAACGATGCTTTAGTCAACCGTGGCAGCATTCTAATATGTCCCATTTGTCGCCAAGAAGTGGGTAGTTGACGACACGAACAATGAAGTGGATATTATTCTTCTCACTACAATATCAAAAGGTTCTTATTTGGTTCGCTACTATATTAATATATGAAGAGGATATAAGCTCCTCACATGGATCACAAAGGGTTCATATTGAACTGGCTACTAAAGTGCTAGACTAGATATCGTTTCCACTTGCACACCTTCTCTCTTTTACGGCATCGCCGTTTGCTGGTGGTGGTGGCCTTCGTGGGGGTAACCGTGTCCTTCATGAACGGGTTCGGACTTGTCGCCCTTGATCTTTTCCTTCACGTCATGCATTTTCTCCTTCGCACGCTCCATGAGAGACGGCGAGAGAGACTTTTCTGCAGCCTTGATCTGGTGGTCTAGCGCGCTGAGGCTGAAGTGGTCGCGAAGAATCTTACGCACGAGCGTCTCCACGGTCTCGGAGCTCCCCATGACGCCTCCGTTATCGTCTTTATTGCCGCCGAGAGCACCGCTGTGGTGGCCCTCATTCCTGACACCCCCCAACATGCCTCCGTGTGCATTTCCTTCTTCCCGGTTCTTGTCCAAGACACCTCCGTAAGGTGCACTGGTGTTTCCTAAGAAGCCGCCGTCCTCACCTCGCTCGTTATTGTTCTTTCCGAACAAGCCACGGTCTTCACCTCTCTCGTTCTTTCCGACGAAGCCACGGTCTTCACCATGCTCATTCTCGATCTTTCCGACAAAGCCACGGTCTGCACCACTCTCGTTCATACCGACGAAACCACGGTCCTCACGTCGCTCGTTCTCGTTCTTGCCAAAGTACCCGCGATCATCTTCTCTCGCGTTGTGCATCTCACCTGTACCATGCAGTCCGCGGTTGTCTCCCATTCCCTTGTTATTGCGCCCACCAACGGCGGCATCAACTCGTCCCTTGACTCCCATGCGCTGCTTGTTCTCTCTATCGTAGTTGCGAGCCGTAGTCTTCAAGGTTTCGATGGCTCTGGCTGTCGAGTCCATCATGTTACGAGCAGAAGCGATTTCCGTCTTGGACGGCTTCTGGTTCCTGTTGATCTCGTGGGCCACGTATTTCAGGTCCGAGGCCGTATCCTTGGCATTGCGCATATCGGTCCGCATGAAGGACGCCGCCGTATTCCTGGATTGATTGTCATTGCGACTGTCGTAGTCGGACAGGTGCTTCTTGAGCAGCTTCAGGCAGCTCGCCGTCTCGTCAGCGGTCTCGTTCAGCACTTGCTCTAACTTGAAGAATTCCTCCTCCGTGGCAACTTTTTGATCGGTGTGTTTGCCCATGACCATGGTTGTTGCAGTGCTGAGCTGGTTGTTGAGATTGGCTAGTCGGTATCGATTTGTGTGCTTGAGATCAAGTTTTGAAATGAACGATGCGGGGCAAGTCCGACTGAGCCAAGCTAACGATTCACTCGTCCGACATTGGGTGATCTTGAATTTCTTTTTGTTGCAGCCATCCTAACGCTTCCGAGTGATACCTACGCCCAACGGAATCCGCTCAGGAGTGGTGGCATTATTGTCTCGTCATTTGTCGCGCAGAACATGAAGCCATTATCTTTAGGGGAAAAGGTTTGAAAACCCCCATTAGATGAATTGCGACACCCTCCTTAGTAACTAAGTACATCTAGATGAGATTGGTGAGATGATGATATGCCCCATGAACTTCTTTGCAAAAACGAAATCACTGCGCTATCTAACATGTTCGATCTACCAAAAACACCAACAAGAATGAAAGAAAATGGCAAATGGCCTGTATCCATCTGAAATACGACACTGTAGTATTGGTTAGCGATTATTCCATTGATGCCAAATATATCGTTTCTGCTGCTGATGTGGCAAGCGCTGGTATACAAAGGATGGCTACCGCCACATCACACCAGATAACCGCGCCGAACCTCTACCAGCTACGAATATGTGCGAGGACTTGGTTGTGTCGTTAAAAAAGCCAAGTGGCTACAGAACTACAAATTCCGAATAAACGGTTGTCATGGTGGGCATTTTCGATCAACCATGGACTCGCACAACTCGCGTCAAGGTAACGATGCTTTAGTCAACCGTGGCAGCATTCTAATATGTCCCATTTGTCGCCAAGAAGTGGGTAGCTGACGACAAGAACAATGAAGTGGATATTATTTCTTCTCACTACAATATCAAAAGAGTTTTTTTTAGTGTTTGGCTTACTATATCAAATTAAAGGAAGAAGAATTATAAATCTCCTAACATAAATCACAAAGGACACATTTGTAGCTGGCTAAGGAGGATACTGAAAATAAAAAATATCGTTTCCACTTGCACACCTTCTCTCTTTTACGGCATCGCCGTTTGCTGGTGGTGGTGGCCTTCGTGGGGGTAACCGTGTCCTTCATGAATGGGTTCGGACTTGTCGCCCTTGATCTTTTCCTTCACGTCATGCATTTTCTCCTTCGCACGCTCCATGAGAGACGGCGAGAGAGACTTTTCTGCAGCTTTGATCTGGTGGTCTAGCGCGCTGAGGCTGAAGTGGTCGCGAAGAATCTTACGCACGAGCGTCTCCACGGTCTCGGAGCTCCCCATGACGCCTCCGTTATCGTCTTTATTGCCGCCGAGAGCACCGCTGTGGTGGCCCTCATTCCTGACACCCCCCAACATGCCTCCGTTATCGTCTTTATTGCCGCCGAGAGCACCGCTGTGGTGGCCCTCATTCCTGACACCCCCCAACATGCCTCCGTGTGCATTTCCTTCTTCCCGGTTCTTGTCCAAGACACCTCCGCAAGATGCACTGGTGTTTCCTAAGAAGCCGCCGTCCTCACCTCGCTCGTTCTCGTTCTTTCCGACAAAGCCACGGTCTGCACCACTCTCGTTCATACCGACGAAGCCACGGTCCTCACGTCGCTCGTTCTCGTTTTTGCCAAAGTACCCGCGATCATCTTCTCTCGCGTTGTGCATCTCACCTGTACCATGCAGTCCGCGGTTGTCTCCCATTCCCTTGTTATTGCGCCCACCAACGGCGGCATCAACTCGTCCCTTGACTCCCATGCGCTGCTTGTTCTCTCTATCGTAGTTGCGAGCCGTAGTCTTCAAGGTTTCGATGGCTCTGGCTGTCGAGTCCATCATGTTACGAGCAGAAGCGATTTCCGTCTTGGACGGCTTCTGGTTCCTGTTGATCTCGTGGGCCACGTGTTTCAGGTCCGAGGCCGTATCCTTGGCATTGCGCATATCGGTCCGCATGAAGGACGCCGCCGTATTCCTGGATTGATTGCCATTGCGACTGTCGTAGTCGGACAGGTGCTTCTTGAGCAGCTTCAGGCAGTTCGCCGTCTCGTCAGCGGTCTCGTTCAGCACTTGCTCTAACTTGAAGAATTCCTCCTCCGTGGCGAATTTTTGATCGGTGTGTTTGCCCATGACCATGGTTGTTGCAGTGCTGAGCTGGTTGTTGCGATTGGCTAGTCGGTAGCGATTTGTGTGCTTGAGATCAAGTTTTGAAATGAACGATGCGGGGCAAGTCCGACTGAGCCAAGCTAACGATTCACTCGTCCGACATTGGGTGATCTTGAATTTCTTTTTGTTGCAGCCATCCTAATGCTTTTGATTGTACCTACGCCCAACGGAATCCGCTCAGGAGTGGTGGCATTATTGTCTCGTCATTTGTCGCGCAGAACATGAAGCCATTATCTTTAGGGGAAAAGGTTTGAAAACCCCCATTAGATGAATTGCGACACCCTCCTTAGTAACTAAGTACATCTAGATGAGATTGGTGAGATGATGATATGCCCCATGAACTTCTTTGCAAAAACGAAATCACTGCGCTATCTAACATGTTCGATCTACCAAAAACACCAACAAGAATGAAAGAAAATGGCAAATGGCCTGTATCCATCTGAAATACGACACTGTAGTATTGGTTAGCGATTATTCCATTGATGCCAAATATATCGTTTCTGCTGCTGATGTGGCAAGCGCTGGTATACAAAGGATGGCTACCGCCACATCACACCAGATAACCGCGCCGAACCTCTACCAGCTACGAATATGTGCGAGGACTTGGTTGTGTCGTTAAAAAAGCCAAGTGGCTACAGAACTACAAATTCCGACTAAACGGTTGTCATGGTGGGCATTTTCGATCAACCATGGACTCGCACAACTCGCGTCAAGGTAACGATGCTTTAGTCAACCGTGGCAGCATTCTAATATGTCCCATTTGTCGCCAAGAAGTGGGTAGCTGACGACACGAACAATGAAGTGGATTTTTTCTTCTCACTACAATATCAAAAGGTTCTTATTTGGTTCGCTACTATATTAATATATGAAGAGGATATAAGCTCCTCACATGGATCACAAAGGGTTCATATTGAACTGGCTACTAAAGTGCTAGACTAGATATCGTTTCCACTTGCACACCTTCTCTCTTTTACGGCATCGCCGTTTGCTGGTGGTGGTGGCCTTCGTGGGGGTAACCGTGTCCTTCATGAACGGGTTCGGACTTGTCGCCCTTGATCTTTTCCTTCACGTCATGCATTTTCTCCTTCGCACGCTCCATGAGAGACGGCGAGAGAGACTTTTCTGCAGCCTTGATCTGGTGGTCTAGCGCGCTGAGGCTGAAGTGGTCGCGAAGAATCTTACGCACGAGCGTCTCCACGGTCTCGGAGCTCCCCATGACGCCTCCGTTATCGTCTTTATTGCCGCCGAGAGCACCGCTGTGGTGGCCCTCATTCCTGACACCCCCCAACATGCCTCCGTGTGCATTTCCTTCTTCCCGGTTCTTGTCCAAGACACCTCCGCAAGATGCACTGGTGTTTCCTAAGAAGCCGCCGTCCTCACCTCGCTCGTTATTGTTCTTTCCGAACAAGCCACGGTCTTCACCTCTCTCGTTCTTTCCGACGAAGCCACGGTCTTCACCATGCTCATTCTCGATCTTTCCGACAAAGCCACGGTCTGCACCACTCTCGTTCATACCGACGAAGCCACGGTCCTCACGTCGCTCGTTCTCGTTCTTGCCAAAGTACCCGCGATCATCTTCTCTCGCGTTGTGCATCTCACCTGTACCATGCAGTCCGCGGTTGTCTCCCATTCCCTTGTTATTGCGCCCACCAACGGCGGCATCAACTCGTCCCTTGACTCCCATGCGCTGCTTGTTCTCTCTATCGTAGTTGCGAGCCGTAGTCTTCAAGGTTTCGATGGCTCTGGCCGTCGAGTCCATCATGTTACGAGCAGAAGCGATTTCCGTCTTGGACGGCTTCTGGTTCCTGTTGATCTCGTGGGCCACGTATTTCAGGTCCGAGGCCGTATCCTTGGCATTGCGCATATCGGTCCGCATGAAGGACGCCGCCGTATTCCTGGATTGATTGTCATTGCGACTGTCGTAGTCGGACAGGTGCTTCTTGAGCAGCTTCAGGCAGTTCGCCGTCTCGTCAGCGGTCTCGTTCAGCACTTGCTCTAACTTGAAGAATTCCTCCTCCGTGGCAACTTTTTGATCGGTGTGTTTGCCCATGACCATGGTTGTTGCAGTGCTGAGCTGGTTGTTGAGATTGGCTAGTCGGTATCGATTTGTGTGCTTGAGATCAAGTTTTGAAATGAACGATACGGGGCAAGTCCGACTGAGCCAAGCTAACGAGTCACTCGTCCGACATTGGGTGATCTTGAATTTCTTTTTGCTGCAGCCATCCTAATGCTTTTGATTGTACCTACGCCCAACGGAATCCGCTCAGGAGTGGTGGCATTATTGTCTCGTCATTTGTCGCGCAGAACATGAAGCCATTATTTTAGGGGAAAAGGTTGAAAAGTCCCATTATTAATAGATGAATTGCGACACCCTCTTTAGTAAGTAAGTACGTCTAAATACGATTGGTGAGATGCTATGAAATGCCCCATGAACTTCCTTGCAAAACGAAAACGCTGCGTTATCTAACGACTGCAGCAAGTGTATCCATCTGAAATACGACACTGTAGTATTGGTTAGCGATTATTCCACTGATGCCAAATATATCGTTTCTGCTGCTGATGTGGCAAGCGCTGGTATACAAAGGATGGCTACTGCCACATCACACCGCGCCGTCTTGCTGCAAGCTCTGTCAGCTACAAATGTTTTGCGTGGACTTGGTTGCGTCATTAAAAAAGCCAAGTGGTTACAGTACTACGAATTCCGAATAAACAGTTTGTCATGGCGGAGGTGATGGAAATTTGCAGGCTGTTGCGTCGTCGTTTGCATTGGTGGTGAGCATTTTCGATCAACCATGGAATCGCACAACTCGCGTCAAGGTAACGGAGCTTTAGTCAACCGAGGCAGGATTCTAATAGGTCCCATTTGTCGCCAAGAAGTGGGTAGCTGACGACAAGAACAATGAAGTGGATATTTTTCTTCTCACTACAATATCAAAAGGTTCTTATTTGGTTCGCTACTATATTAATATATGAAGAGGATATAAGCTCCTCACATGGATCACAAAGGGTTCATATTGAACTGGCTACTAAAGTGCTAGACTAGATATCGTTTCCACTTGCACACCTTCTCTCTTTTACGGCATCGCCGTTTGCTGGTGGTGGTGGCCTTCGTGGGGGTAACCGTGTCCTTCATGAACGGGTTCGGACTTGTCGCCCTTGATCTTTTCCTTCACGTCATGCATTTTCTCCTTCGCACGCTCCATGAGAGACGGCGAGAGAGACTTTTCTGCAGCCTTGATCTGGTGGTCTAGCGCGCTGAGGCTGAAGTGGTCGCGAAGAATCTTACGCACGAGCGTCTCCACGGTCTCGGAGCTCCCCATGACGCCTCCGTTATCGTCTTTATTGCCGCCGAGAGCACCGCTGTGGTGGCCCTCATTCCTGACACCCCCCAACATGCCTCCGTGTGCATTTCCTTCTTCCCGGTTCTTGTCCAAGACACCTCCGCAAGATGCACTGGTGTTTCCTAAGACGCCGCCGTCCTCACCTCGCTCGTAATTGTTCTTTCCGAACAAGCCACGGTCTTCACCTCTCTCGTTCTTTCCGACGAAGCCACGGTCTTCACCATGCTCATTCTCGATCTTTCCGACAAAGCCACGGTCTGCACCACTCTCGTTCATACCGACGAAACCACGGTCCTCACGTCGCTCGTTCTCGTTCTTGCCAAGTACCCGCGATCATCTTCTCTCGCGTTGTGCATCTCACCTGTACCATGCAGTCCGCGGTTGTCTCCCATTCCCTTGTTATTGCGCCCACCAACGGCGGCATCAACTCGTCCCTTGACTCCCATGCGCTGCTTGTTCTCTCTATCGTAGTTGCGAGCCGTAGTCTTCAAGGTTTCGATGGCTCTGGCTGTCGAGTCCATCATGTTACGAGCAGAAGCGATTTCCGTCTTGGACGGCTTCTGGTTCCTGTTGATCTCGTGGGCCACGTGTTTCAGGTCCGAGGCCGTATCCTTGGCATTGCGCATATCGGTCCGCATGAAGGACGCCGCCGTATTCCTGGATTGATTGCCATTGCGACTGTCGTAGTCGGACAGGTGCTTCTTGAGCAGCTTCAGGCAGTTCGCCGTCTCGTCAGCGGTCTCGTTCAGCACTTGCTCTAACTTGAAGAATTCCTCCTCCGTGGCGAATTTTTGATCGGTGTGTTTGCCCATGACCATGGTTGTTGCAGTGCTGAGCTGGTTGTTGAGATTGGCTAGTCGGTATCGATTTGTGTGCTTGAGATCAAGTTTTGAAATGAACGATACGGGGCAAGTCCGACTGAGCCAAGCTAACGAGTCACTCGTGTGATCTTGAATTTCTTTTTGCTGCAGCCATCCTAATGCTTTTGATTGTACCTACGCCCAACGGAATCCGCTCAGGAGTGGTGGCATTATTGTCTCGTCATTTGTCGCGCAGAACATGAAGCCATTATTTTAGGGGAAAAGGTTGAAAAGTCCCATTATTAATAGATGAATTGCGACACCCTCTTTAGTAAGTAAGTACGTCTAAATACGATTGGTGAGATGCTATGAAATGCCCCATGAACTTCCTTGCAAAACGAAAACGCTGCGTTATCTAACGACTGCAGCAAGTGTATCCATCTGAAATACGACACTGTAGTATTGGTTAGCGATTATTCCACTGATGCCAAATATATCGTTTCTGCTGCTGATGTTGCAAGCGCTGGTATACAAAGGATGGCTACTGCCACATCACACCGCGCCGTCTTGCTGCAAGCTCTGTCAGCTACAAATGTTTTGCGTGGACTTGGTTGCGTCATTAAAAAAGCCAAGTGGTTACAGTACTACGAATTCCGAATAAACAGTTTGTCATGGCGGAGGTGATGGAAATTTGCAGGCTGTTGCGTCGTCGTTTGCATTGGTGGTGAGCATTTTCGATCAACCATGGACTCGCACAACTCGCGTCAAGGTAACGATGCTTTAGTCAACCGTGGCAGCATTCTAATATGTCCCATTTGTCGCCAAGAAGTGGGTAGTTGACGACACGAACAATGAAGTGGATATTATTCTTCTCACTACAATATCAAAAGGTTCTTATTTGGTTCGCTACTATATTAATATATGAAGAGGATATAAGCTCCTCACATGGATCACAAAGGGTTCATATTGAACTGGCTACTAAAGTGCTAGACTAGATATCGTTTCCACTTGCACACCTTCTCTCTTTTACGGCATCGCCGTTTGCTGGTGGTGGTGGCCTTCGTGGGGGTAACCGTGTCCTTCATGAACGGGTTCGGACTTGTCGCCCTTGATCTTTTCCTTCACGTCATGCATTTTCTCCTTCGCACGCTCCATGAGAGACGGCGAGAGAGACTTTTCTGCAGCCTTGATCTGGTGGTCTAGCGCGCTGAGGCTGAAGTGGTCGCGAAGAATCTTACGCACGAGCGTCTCCACGGTCTCGGAGCTCCCCATGACGCCTCCGTTATCGTCTTTATTGCCGCCGAGAGCACCGCTGTGGTGGCCCTCATTCCTGACACCCCCCAACATGCCTCCGTGTGCATTTCCTTCTTCCCGGTTCTTGTCCAAAACACCTCCGCAAGATGCACTGGTGTTTCCTAAGAAGCCGCCGTCCTCACCTCGCTCGTAATTGTTCTTTCCGAACAAGCCACGGTCTTCACCTCTCTCGTTCTTTCCGACGAAGCCACGGTCTTCACCATGCTCATTCTCGATCTTTCCGACAAAGCCACGGTCTGCACCACTCTCGTTCATACCGACGAAGCCACGGTCCTCACGTCGCTCGTTCTCGTTCTTGCCAAAGTACCCGCGATCATCTTCTCTCGCGTTGTGCATCTCACCTGTACCATGCAGTCCGCGGTTGTCTCCCATTCCCTTGTTATTGCGCCCACCAACGGCGGCATCAACTCGTCCCTTGACTCCCATGCGCTGCTTGTTCTCTCTATCGTAGTTGCGAGCCGTAGTCTTCAAGGTTTCGATGGCTCTGGCCGTCGAGTCCATCATGTTACGAGCAGAAGCGATTTCCGTCTTGGACGGCTTCTGGTTCCTGTTGATCTCGTGGGCCACGTGTTTCAGGTCCGAGGCCGTATCCTTGGCATTGCGCATATCGGTCCGCATGAAGGACGCCGCCGTATTCCTGGATTGATTGCCATTGCGACTGTCGTAGTCGGACAGGTGCTTCTTGAGCAGCTTCAGGCAGTTCGCCGTCTCGTCAGCGGTCTCGTTCAGCACTTGCTCTAACTTGAAGAATTCCTCCTCCGTGGCAACTTTTTGATCGGTGTGTTTGCCCATGACCATGTCCGACATTGGGTGATCTTGAATTTCTTTTTGCTGCAGCCATCCTAATGCTTTTGATTGTACCTACGCCCAACGGAATCCGCTCAGGAGTGGTGGCATTATTGTCTCGTCATTTGTCGCGCAGAACATGAAGCCATTATTTTAGGGGAAAAGCTTGAAAAGTCCCATTATTAATAGATGAATTGCGACACCCTCTTTAGTAAGTAAGTACGTCTAAATACGATTGGTGAGATGCTATGAAATGCCCCATGAACTTCCTTGCAAAACGAAAACGCTGCGTTATCTAACGACTGCCAAAATCACCAGCAAGTGTATCCATCTGAAATACGACACTGTAGTATTGGTTAGCGATTATTCCACTGATGCCAAATATATCGTTTCTGCTGCTGATGTTGCAAGCGCTGGTATACAAAGGATGGCTACTGCCACATCACACCGCGCCGTCTTGCTGCAAGCTCTGTCAGCTACAAATGTTTTGCGTGGACTTGGTTGCGTATAAACAGATTTGTCATGGCGGAGGTGATGGAAATTTGCAGGCTGTTGCGTTGTCGTTTGCATTGGTGGTGAGCATTTTCGATCAACCATGGACTCGCACAGCTCGCGTCAAGGTAACGATGCCTTAGTCAACTGTGGCAGGATTCTAATAGGTCCCATTTGTCGCCAAGAAGTGGGTAGCTGACGACAAGAACAATGAAGTGATTATTATTCTTCTCACTACAATATCAAAAGGTTCTTATTTGGTTCGCTACTATATTAATATATGAAGAGGATATAAGCTCCTCACATGGATCACAAAGGGTTCATATTGAACTGGCTACTAAAGTGCTAGACTAGATATCGTTTCCACTTGCACACCTTCTCTCTTTTACGGCATCGCCGTTTGCTGGTGGTGGTGGCCTTCGTGGGGGTAACCGTGTCCTTCATGAACGGGTTCGGACTTGTCGCCCTTGATCTTTTCCTTCACGTCATGCATTTTCTCCTTCGCACGCTCCATGAGAGACGGCGAGAGAGACTTTTCTGCAGCCTTGATCTGGTGGTCTAGCGCGCTGAGGCTGAAGTGGTCGCGAAGAATCTTACGCACGAGCGTCTCCACGGTCTCGGAGCTCCCCATGACGCCTCCGTTATCGTCTTTATTGCCGCCGAGAGCACCGCTGTGGTGGCCCTCATTCCTGACACCCCCCAACATGCCTCCGTGTGCATTTCCTTCTTCCCGGTTCTTGTCCAAGACACCTCCGCAAGATGCACTGGTGTTTCCTAAGACGCCGCCGTCCTCACCTCGCTCGTAATTGTTCTTTCCGAACAAGCCACGGTCTTCACCTCTCTCGTTCTTTCCGACGAAGCCATGGTCTTCACCATGCTCATTCTCGATCTTTCCGACAAAGCCACGGTCTGCACCACTCTCGTTCATACCGACGAAGCCACGGTCCTCACGTCGCTCGTTCTCGTTCTTGCCAAAGTACCCGCGATCATCTTCTCTCGCGTTGTGCATCTCACCTGTACCATGCAGTCCGCGGTTGTCTCCCATTCCCTTGTTATTGCGCCCACCAACGGCGGCATCAACTCGTCCCTTGACTCCCATGCGCTGCTTGTTCTCTCTATCGTAGTTGCGAGCCGTAGTCTTCAAGGTTTCGATGGCTCTGGCCGTCGAGTCCATCATGTTACGAGCAGAAGCGATTTCCGTCTTGGACGGCTTCTGGTTCCTGTTGATCTCGTGGGCCACGTGTTTCAGGTCCGAGGCCGTATCCTTGGCATTGCGCATATCGGTCCGCATGAAGGACGCCGCCGTATTCCTGGATTGATTGTCATTGCGACTGTCGTAGTCGGACAGGTGCTTCTTGAGCAGCTTCAGGCAGTTCGCCGTCTCGTCAGCGGTCTCGTTCAGCACTTGCTCTAACTTGAAGAATTCCTCCTCCGTGGCGAATTTTTGATCGGTGTGTTTGCCCATGACCATGGTTGTTGCAGTGCTGAGCTGGTTGTTGAGATTGGCTAGTCGGTATCGATTTGTGTGCTTGAGATCAAGTTTTGAAATGAACGATGCGGGGCAAGTCCGACTGAGCCAAGCTAACGATTCACTCGTCCGACATTGGGTGATCTTGAATTTCTTTTTGTTGCAGCCATCCTAACGCTTCCGAGTGATACCTACGCCCAACGGAATCCGCTCAGGAGTGGTGGCATTATTGTCTCGTCATTTGTCGCGCAGAACATGAAGCCATTATCTTTAGGGGAAAGTCCCCATTAGATGAATTGCGACACCCTCCTTAGTAACTAAGTACATCTAGATGAGATTGGTGAGATGATGATATGCCCCATGAACTTCTTTGCAAAAACGAAATCACTGCGCTATCTAACATGTTCGATCTACCAAAAACACCAACAAGAATGAAAGAAAATGGCAAATGGCCTGTATCCATCTGAAATACGACACTGTAGTATTGGTTAGCGATTATTCCATTGATGCCAAATATATCGTTTCTGCTGCTGATGTGGCAAGCGCTGGTATACAAAGGATGGCTACCGCCACATCACACCAGATAACCGCGCCGAACCTCTACCAGCTACGAATATGTGCGAGGACTTGGTTGTGTCGTTAAAAAAGCCAAGTGGCTACAGAACTACAAATTCCGAATAAACGGTTGTCATGGTGGGCATTTTCGATCAACCATGGACTCGCACAACTCGCGTCAAGGTAACGATGCTTTAGTCAACCGTGGCAGCATTCTAATATGTCCCATTTGTCGCCAAGAAGTGGGTAGCTGACGACAAGAACAATGAAGTGGATTTTTTCTTCTCACTACAATATCAAAAGGTTCTTATTTGGTTCGCTACTCTTTCAATTTATGAAGAGGATATAAGCTCCTCACATGGATCACAAAGGGCTCATATTGAGCTGGCTACGAAAGTGCTAGACTAGATATCGTTTCCACTTCCACACCTTCTCTTTTTTACGGCATCGCCGTTTGCTGGTGGTGGTGGCCTTCGTGGGGGTAACCGTGTCCTTCATGAACGGGTTCGGACTTGTCGCCCTTGATCTTTTCCTTCACGTCATGCATTTTCTCCTTCGCACGCTCCATGAGAGACGGCGAGAGAGACTTTTCTGCAGCCTTGATCTGGTGGTATAGCGCGCTGAGGCTGAAGTGGTCGCGAAGAATCTTACGCACGAGCGTCTCCACGGTCTCGGAGCTCCCCATGACGCCTCCGTTATCGTCTTTATTGCCGCCGAGAGCACCGCTGTGGTGGCCCTCATTCCTGACACCCCCCAACATGCCTCCGTGTGCATTTCCTTCTTCCCGGTTCTTGTCCAAGACACCTCCGCAAGATGCACTGGTGTTTCCTAAGAAGCCGCCGTCCTCACCTCGCTCGTTATTGTTCTTTCCGAGCAAGCCACGGTCTTCACCTCTCTCGTTCTTTCCGACGAAGCCACGGTCTTCACCATGCTCATTCTCGATCTTTCCGACAAAGCCACGGTCTGCACCACTCTCGTTCATACCGACGAAACCACGGTCCTCACGTCGCTCGTTCTCGTTTTTGCCAAAGTACCCGCGATCATCTTCTCTCGCGTTGTGCATCTCACCTGTACCATGCAGTCCGCGGTTGTCTCCCATTCCCTTGTTATTGCGCCCACCAACGGCGGCATCAACTCGTCCCTTGACTCCCATGCGCTGCTTGTTCTCTCTATCGTAGTTGCGAGCCGTAGTCTTCAAGGTTTCGATGGCTCTGGCCGTCGAGTCCATCATGTTACGAGCAGAAGCGATTTCCGTCTTGGACGGCTTCTGGTTCCTGTTGATCTCGTGGGCCACGTGTTTCAGGTCCGAGGCCGTATCCTTGGCATTGCGCATATCGGTCCGCATGAAGGACGCCGCCGTATTCCTGGATTGATTGCCATTGCGACTGTCGTAGTCGGACAGGTGCTTCTTGAGCAGCTTCAGGCAGTTCGCCGTCTCGTCAGCGGTCTCGTTCAGCACTTGCTCTAACTTGAAGAATTCCTCCTCCGTGGCAACTTTTTGATCGGTGTGTTTGCCCATGACCATGGTTGTTGCAGTGCTGAGCTGGTTGTTGAGATTGGCTAGTCGGTATCGATTTGTGTGCTTGAGATCAAGTTTTGAAATGAACGATGCGGGGCAAGTCCGACTGAGCCAAGCTAACGAGTCACTCGTCCGACATTGGGTGATCTTGAATTTCTTTTTGCTGCAGCCATCCTAATGCTTTTGATTGTACCTACGCCCAACGGAATCCGCTCAGGAGTGGTGGCATTATTGTCTCGTCATTTGTCGCGCAGAACATGAAGCCATTATCTTTAGGGGAAAGTCCCCATTAGATGAATTGAGACACCCTCTTTTGTAAATACTAGGAAATAAGTTAAGCATGTGGAAATGCGATTGGTGAGATACCCCATGATATCTCATATAAAACAAAGCCCCTGCGTTTCTAACGTGTTAAGCCTTGGCAGATTCAAATAGAAATTATTTGTCACCAAGAAGCGGTTTCATAAAGTATCAAGCTGACTACTTCAGTGCTACACTAGGAGTCTTGTCCACCTGCACACCTTCTCTCTTTTACGGCATCACCGTTTGCTGGTGATGGTGGCCTTCGTGGGGGTAACCGTGTCCTTCATGAACGGGCTCGGACTTGTCGCCCTTAATCTTTTCCTTCACGTCATGCATTTTCTCCTTCGCACGCTCCATGAGAGACGGTGTCAGCGAGTTCTCAGCAGCTTTGATTTGACTGTTTAGCGTGCTGAGGCTGAAGTTGTCACGGAGTACCTTTCTCACAAGTGTCTCTACGGTCTCTGAACTCCCTACGACACGGCCGCCGTTATTGTCTTCGTTGGAGATATTTCGGCGTTTCTCTCCGCTATCTTTCTTACCAAAGAGACCACCGTCCGACTCCGACGAGCTCGAGGAGGACGAGGCGGCAAAAGCACTACGCTCCCCATGTCCACCAACGGCGGCATCAACTCGCCCCTTGACTCCCATGCGCTGCTGGTTCTCTCTATCGTAGTTGCGAGCCGTAGCCTTCAAGGTTTCGATGGCTCTGGCCGTCGAGTTCATCATGTTACGAGCAGAAGCGATTTCCGTCTTGGTCGGCTTCTGGTCCCTGTTGATCTCGTGGGCCACGTGTTTCAGGTCCATGGCCGTATCCTTGGCATCCCGCATATCCGTCCGCATGAAGGACGCCGCCGTGTTCCTAAAACGATTGCCATTGCGGCTGTCGTAGTCGGATAGATGCTTTTTGAGGAGCTTGAGGCAGTTGGCCGTTTCATTGGCGGTCTGGTTTAGCACTTGCTCCAACTTGAGGAATTCCTCCTCGATGGCGATATTGTGATCATTAGGCTTGCACATGACCATGGTTGTTGCTGTGTTACTACAGTAATAATTTTGTGTTTTGACTTGTGTACTTCAGACCTTATGTCGGAATGAGCGGACACGACGACTCGAACGAGCAGGCGAAGAGAGCGTTTGGATGAGCCCTACAATGGGAGACTTTAAATTTTCGGTTTTTTGCTGCAGCCATCGTAGTGCTTCCTCAACGGCAAGAACAACACTGTCGCGGATGTCATTGATACCAAAGTCCTCATATAAAGCTCACACACAAGTACTGACTGGATAATTGTAGTTGAATCGCTATGACCATTTCCGCTCCATTACATGTAAGAAAAAAGTCTGCGGTTAATTCTATTAGACAGTGCACTGCTTAGCCTCAGATACTGACGAATCCAGTACTGCTCTTGTTGCTCAAAAAAGTCATATTTTCGATCGTCGAGTTTCGCAAAATTTTCATACTTGTACTTCTCCGTCAAAACCTTTTCGTTGGCTGCTAAAAGATCTGAGAAATTCAAAATCACCCGATGTCGGACTCCTCCTCAGACAATCGATACCGACCAGCCAATCTCAACAACCAAATCATCACTGCAACAACCAAGGTCATGGGCAAACACACCGATCAAAAAGTTGCCACGGAGGAGGAATTCTTCAAGTTAGAGCAAGTGCTGAACGAGACCGCTGATGAGACGGCGAACTGCCTGAAGCTGCTCAAGAAGCACCTGTCCGACTACGACAGTCGCAATGGCAATCAATCCAGGAATACGGCGGCGTCCTTCATGCGGACCGATATGCGCAATGCCAAGGATACGGCCTCGGACCTGAAACACGTGGCCCACGAGATCAACAGGAACCAGAAGCCGTCCAAGACGGAAATCGCTTCTGCTCGTAACATGATGGACTCGACGGCCAGAGCCATCGAAACCTTGAAGACTACGGCTCGCAACTACGATAGAGAGAACAAGCAGCGCATGGGCGTCAAAGGACGAGTTGATGCCGCCGTTGGTGGGCGCAATAACAAGGGAATGGGAGACAACCGCGGACTGCATGGTACAGGTGAGATGCACAACGCGAGAGAAGATGATCGCGGGTACTTTGGCAAGAACGAGAACGAGCGACGTGAGGACCGTGGTTTCGTCGGTATGAACGAGAGTGGTGCAGACCGTGGCTTTGTCGGAAAGATCGAGAATGAGCATGGTGAAGACCGTGGCTTCGTCGGAAAGAACGAGAGAGGTGAAGACCGTGGCTTGTTCGGAAAGAACAATGACGAGCGAGGTGAGGACGGCGGCTTCTTAGGAAACACCAGTGCATCTTGCGGAGGTGTCTTGGACAAGAACCGGGAAGAAGGAAATGCACACGGAGGCATGTTGGGGGGTGTCAGGAATGAGGGCCACCACAGCGGTGCTCTCGGCGGCAATAAAGACGATAACGGAGGCGTCATGGGGAGCTCCGAGACCGTGGAGACGCTCGTGCGTAAGATTCTTCGCGACCACTTCAGCCTCAGCGCGCTAGACCACCAGATCAAGGCTGCAGAAAAGTCTCTCTCGCCGTCTCTCATGGAGCGTGCGAAGGAGAAAATGCATGCCGTGAAGGAGAAGATCAAGGGCGACAAGTCCGAACCCGTTCATGAAGGACACGGTTACCCCCACGAAGGCCACCACCACCAGCAAACGGCGATGCCTTAAGAGAGAAGGTGTGCAAGTGGAAACGACATCTAGTCTAGCACTTTAGTAGCCAGCTCAATAATAGAGACTGCGTCAAACAAAATGTTACTTATGAACCTTTGAGAGTTATCGAGATAATCGAGCTTAAAGCTGGCCAATTGATTTTGGCACTTAACCGAAACAGCGACATTTATTGTAAACTTCCATCGAAACAACTGTAAAACTACCCTTATTCAATTGCTTTTAACAAGAGCTTTTAAATAACACTTGAATCTTTAAAATTGAAAAAATATTGAGCTCACAACACTCCTAAATGTATCGTCATTTCGAGGGCCCATAAATGATGATAATATTTTTGAGCGACCACAACTTTTTCAGTTTTAAGCATTATGCAGCTTATAAGGGCTCAAAAGATAGAGGAGACGCCCCGCTTTCGTTTAGAGTGCTAAAATCGCGATTCGTACTTAGATTCATAAGTAACATTTTGTTTGACGCAGTCTCATTATGAACCCTTTGTGAACTATGTGAGGAGCTTATATCCTCTTCATTAATTAAATAGTTGCGAACCAAATAAGGACCCTTTGATATTGTGGTGAGAATAATTATTTCTTCTTCATTGTTCTTGTCGTCAGCTACCCACTTCTTGGCGACAAATGGTACGTATTAGAATCCTGCCACGGTTTGCTAAGGCTCCGTGAGTCCGTTGACTGTATCCTCTGCGAGGGTGGAACACCCAGCACTTTGCGCTAGACGAAGTTGGCTTCCGAGAGTAGACAAACTCTAAGTGAGCGGCAGTTCACAGGTTGAATGGGAGCGAAGTGACCAATTTAAGGTATGTTGTAAAGGTATGTTTCGACCGCAAAGCCTGTAGGGCGTGCGGGAGAAATTGTGTTTTCTACTTCAATTTGCTCAATCTACCGGAGCTCCACTCGCCGTCATCCTCGCCTGTCATTATTCACTCGAGAATTAGCTCCTACAGCAAGACATCCAGCGAAGAGGTTTTTTTTCACTCCACCATGAACACCAATCAGGAGAACAGCAACTCTGCGACCAGCGCACCATCAACGCCCCAGGCAACGGCAACGGCCGCGGCGATCGCGAACAGCGAAATGGCTCAAGTCGTCGACGTGACAGGTGGAGTCGAGCCATGGACCGCATCGTCTGCCCGGTCAACGACGAACCCTTTTCCACTCCGGGCCAGTAAGCATGCGGCCAAGGCGAAGACGCCGTCCGCTCCAACGCTCCTGAAGGCAATCAAAAATCCCACGAAGCGCAGCGCAAAGTCGGGTGCCGTCACAGCCCCTCGGCGGAAGTCGGCACGCACCACAGCCCCGACGATCGACGACTCGGACCTCGAGGAGAAGGCTCCGACGCCTGTGTCGACACCGATGACGGAGGCCAGATTACCGCCGGCGGCGACAGCCACGCAGAAAGAATTGTCAGCGGTCGAGCAAGTGGCCACGCAAGGCTGCAGTGGACCCAACGGCTGCAGCAAGTCCTAACTCCACAGCTGAAGACAGCCAGGCCGGCCGGTCATCGCTCCTCCCGACCACGGTTCTGGCGCGTCCGAATGCAGCACCGTTGTCCAGGAGCGGCTTCAATCTCGAAGAGTTCATGAATGCTTATGGATCGAGCGGCTCCTCAGCTGTCGTTGCGCGTGCAGCCGCTGCACCCGCCGTCGCGCTTTCGGAAGGTGAATCCGCTGCAATAGCTGCACTGAGGGAGGAGAATGCTCGGTTGCTCCGCATGCTGGACGCTTAGGGTACTTCGCAATGCGTGCTGCCAGCCAGCTCGGTCGGAACCACCCCTAACGCTCGGGGCGAGCTACCACCAAGGGCCGTGTGCTACCTCTCATGCACCAGCTTCCCAGAAGGACACAAGAAGGCCAAAGGAGAATACAACCCGCCACAAGCGCACCTGCTTGCCGGTGGTCGGACATTCAAGAATCTCCTCTCTCAAGAAGGTAAGCCCCTATCTGCTATGTCTTTCGTCCTGTGGATTAGAGAAGCGGAGTGTATCAAGTTCCTGGTCAACCCGGCTAGGCTCATGGCATTATTTAGCGGTCGCCTGGGCTCCCGTAATCTCACCCTCTTGCATTTCAGAGAGATATCAGAAATGGAATCGCTTGTGATTGGTTCGAACAACGGCAACTTTGGTAGCGACGTTAGCCCTTCAGCTCAATAGCCTCCAGCGACGACTACTTGCGCCTCGTACGATGATATTCTCGACGGAATCCACGGCCTGGCCAGCTTCGGAAACGAATTTAGGTACGATCACGTACGCAAGATCACTTCGCGCCTTCGAGTCTTTGTCTCCAAAAACAAATCGGCGGACCCAGGCAATACGCCGCAGCGAGTGGTGATGACCCTACGCTACGCGAATAAGTTCCCGGGCAATGCCATTGGGCATCTGCAGTCGGACTCCCCTCAGTGGTGGCACGGCTACTGTGAGGCCCTTCGGGTCATTGACTACCATTCCAGCGAGTGGACACTGGCTCTGGTGAGCACTCTGACCCAAACAGAGCCGCAGCTGCCACAGCGTCGCGCCGACGCCGACCGACGCAATTCGCGCGACCAAGCTAGAGGCCCGGCGGTGCCGGAAGACATCCGACGCATGCTTCCTGTCAATCGTCGCGGACAAGAGCCCTGCTTACGCAACCACGCTGGTCTACCATGCTCCGGAGGAACGCGCGACCGCTGCGGAAACCCTTGCCGCGCCCACAACTGACAGGACGGTATCCCTGCCCCTGTTCAAGAGTGGGTCAGCGAGACCTACGGCGCGCGCTCCATCAACCATCGCCGCTGATGGTGCCGAGAGGTCGACAGCTCGAGTCTCTTTCGGAAAGAAACCCCAGTTAAGCAGACAAATACATTACTTTCTGCTGCTGCGTTGGTACCGAGCACCCTCACATCTGACCGGAAGACTTCCTCCGGTCCAACTGCTCAGTCAAGTCGACCCTCATCGTGTACTGGCTTAGTTCCAGCCAGGACGACGGGCACCAAGCAGGCGGATCCCACGGCAGCCTTGCGCCCGTTGTCGACCGGCCTGCAACTTGCAGCTATACAGCTACCTGTGGCTATACAGCCATTCCGTGCTAGACAGCACCAATTGACCATACAGTCTCCGGCTATACAGCCCCCCTTCAGCAACGTTGCTGGGAGGAGACCCTCGGGTGGCACAAGCTCTGCTCGACCAATGCATCTTAATAAAAATGCCCAACAGTCAGACGGAAAGCTTAGCTCCAAGGCCAGCCCTCTACCGAAAGGGAGGAGTCAACGAATTCTCCGGCCGGTCATCACGAGAGCCAAGGCGCAGCGGATGAAGAATATTGCACACGAACGATAGCAGCTGATTGAATGGACTCGTATCACCACGATCTCTGCCCGCCTGCGCGCGGTCGGCCTGCAGCTCCCGACCAAGGCA